TGAAAAAGTTTTCCTCAAATTTTCTCCAAACCTTATGCCTTTCACTTTAAAATTATGCCCCTTTATTAACGACCCTTCAACTAAGAGGAGTGGTTGCTTTCTATCCACTCTGCCCATGCCCCTCATAATCTTATGAACCTCCATCAGGATCAACCACCCCCCCAACCTCCCAAGATTCTGTGCTCCAAAGAAAACAACTAGAGCCTATCCAACCTCTCCTCATTGCTGAGATGCTCCATCCCAGGCAACATCCTGGTGAACTCCTTAAAACCTCTTTGGCTAAGCATCTGACCTAACAATGGGTTACAGATGGTACACATTGCTGTCACTGTGTGCTGCTGGTGGACGGAATGCATGTTGAAGCTGGTGGTTGGACGCTTTGAGCAGTCTGGAGGCAAGTTACTTAACCACAGAGTTCCCAGCCTTTGACTAGCTCTTGTAGCCGTACTTTTTAATACGATAGGTCCAGTTGTGTTTCTGGTTAATGGTGATTCCCAAAGGATATTAATGGTGGGATATTCAGTGATGGTAATGTCATTGAATGCCATGGGGAGATTCTGTCTCACTGGAAATGGTCAGTGCCTGGCACTTGTGTGACACAAGTATTAGAATGGTGTGGAGGAGTAAAAGTTTGGGACTCTTTTCTACAAATGGCAACTGATGCTAGATCAAGCATTAATCATTATCATAGAATCCCTACAGTGTGGAAATAGGCCCTTTGGCCCAACAAGTCCACACCGACACTCAGAGCATCCCACCCAGACCCATCCCCCTATAACCCACTTAATCTACACATCCCTGAATACTACAGGCAATTTAGCAAGGCCAATCCACCTAGCCTGCATATCTTTGCACTGTGGAGGAAACCGGAGCACCCAGAGGAAACCCAAGCAGACATGGGGAGAATGTGCAAACTTCACACAGATAGTCGCCCGAGGGTGGAATCGAACCCAGGTTCCTGGTGCTGTGAGGCAGCAGTGCTAACCTCTGAGCCACCATGCTGGAATTAGAAACATTCTCATATCTCAGACTGCTGGTGGAGGGGAGAATTTGGAAGAGAGAATTTGGAAGACCCATGGGAGTGTGTGGGAATAGTCAAGGCTGGAGGTAACGAAGGTGAGAGTGAAGGTTTTAGCAGGAGGGGAGCTGAGAGGGGGGCAAAGATGGGAGATGTTTCCATAAGGGGAAATAGATGGTCTCAGTGATGGTGGGGACATGAGCTCATCTTGGGGACAAATGTGAGAGCATCAGATAACACTTCACTTGGTCATTACCCTATTTGTATTTGGGATCTTACTGTGCTCAAATTGGTTGCCGTGGAACATGAGCAGAGCGTTCCTGCATTAATTTCCTGCCCATTTGTCCTCCCATGTCTACAACCACTACCTGACGGGAGTAACCACGGGTGGGATCAAGGGGGACAAGGTTACTTAAGGAGATTCTGAACCTCATTCAGGAGAAGCTGGTGGCAGCTTTTCCTTTTATTCTTTCATGGGATGTGGGCATCATGGGAAAGTCAGCATTTGTTGTCCATCCCTAATTGCCCTCGAACTGAGGGGCTTGCTTGGCCATCTCAGAGGGCAGTTAAAAGCCAACCACATTGCCATGGTCTGGAGTCACATGTGGTCCAGACCGAGCAAGAACATAAGAGATAGGAACAGGAGTAGGTCATTCAGTCCCTTGAGTTTTTCCCCACCATTCTAGAAGATCATGGCTAATCATTCCCAGGCCTCCACTACCGTATTGTGCCAGTTCCTCATTTTCAATATCTCCTCCATATTTCAAAAATCTACCTTTTAGTGATGTAGGCTCCACAACACTGTAGGCAGTGAATTCCAGATATTCTCTACCCTCTGGGAGAGGAAATTCCTTCACATTTCAGTTTTAAATCAGTGTCCACTTATTGTGGGCAGATTTCTGTCCCTCAAGGACAGCAAGGAACCGTCACAGTCACCATTACGAAGACTAGCTTTAGATTCCACATTCATTCGTTCATTGAATTTAAATTCCACATGACATAGTGGTGAGATTTAAAACTGTTTCCCCAGAGCATGAGCTTGTACCTTGAGATTACTACTCTCATTGTTACTTGCGCTAAGGCACTGTTTCCTCCCTTGAGATTCGTTTAGATTATATCTTCGATAATTCCAGGAATTCACTTCTTCCCTGTTGTCCAGTAAAACTCTGCATTGGGGAGTTCTAACACTGAGATGTGTTAACTTCAGTTGCATCCAACCCTCTCCATTAAGCTGCACTGTCATGTTCACCCCAATCCAATTACCACCCCCAACCCCACGGGGGAAACTCCTGACAAACAGCACGTGGTCAGTTCTCCTGCTGTGTTACAGTGAAGCCCAGTCACTGAAACTCAATAGACTTCCGCTTACCTTCATTGGCCAGGTGTAGCAAACACCACAATAAACTGAGCTCCTCCCTGAGGCCAAGATTGGAGAGATTTATTGCATTCATTTGGGTACGTTTATCTCAGAGGTGATAGACAGCACTCTCATCTTTGTACAAGAGACATAACCCAAAGGATGCAAGCTGTTTTAGTGGGCATACAAGTGCACAAAATCCCAGGGCCCGTTGAGATGTATCTCAGGTTGCTATGGGAGGTAAGAGAGGAGATTGCTGGAGCCCTGGTGAAGATACTTAACACCTTGTTGGTCACAGGTGAAGTGCCAGATTGACAGGAGGATAGCTGATGTGGTACTTTTGTTCAAGAAGGGCAGCAGGGATAGGCCAGGTAATTACAAGCTAGTTAGTCTGACATCAGTGGTACGGAAATTATTGGAAAAAATTCTGAGGGATAAGGTTAATCAACATTTGGAAAGGCAGGGACTGATCAGGGATAGTCAGTATAGATTTGTTGGAAGGAGATCATGCCTGACTAATTTAACTGGGTTTTTTGAAAAGGTGATTAAACATATTGACATAGTGCATTTGATGTGGTTTAACATCGACTTCAGTAAGACCTTTGACTGAGTCCTTCATGGAAGGCTGGTCCAAAAGAGCCCATATGATCCAAGGCAAGTTAGCAAACAGGATCCAAAACTGGCTTAAAAATAGGAGGCAAAGGATGAAGGTGGAAAGATATTTTTGGGATTGGAAGCCTGTTACTAGCACTGTACCAGAGGGATTGCTGTTGGGACCCTTGCTGTTGGTTATGTACATTAATAAGTTGGATGTGAATGTAGAAGGTATAATCAGTGTGTTTGCAGTTGACAAGAAAATTGATGGTATTGTTGATAGAGAGGAGTATGGTCTCAGGCTACAGTCTGACGTTGATCAGATTGAGTAAGATGGCGGTAGAGTAGGATGCTCCGGTTGGAGCTCCTTTGCTTGCCAGATCCTTTACCTCTTTTCCATCCTTTTTTTTCTCTTCTGTTTGTAGTTTTCCCTTTCTTCCACCACCCATCCCCATCCACTTGGAGAGTGGAGTCGCGGAGCTGTGTTCCACAGCAGAATGGAATGAGTGGGCCGAGTTCCGCGGTGGACCACAGCGAGCACGGGCTGGGTCCTGTGGTGAAGCTCGCACTGGCAGCATGGCCTTGTGCTCTGGGACCTGCAGGCAAGCCGGTCCTGTGAGCCCCAGGACACCGCGAGCAGTGCGCCCCAGAGCAGTGCGGGAAAGAAGCCTCGCAGCAGCCCCAGAGCCGCATGCAGGCAGCGAGTCCTGGACAGAGACTGGAGTGAGGGGACAATCCTTACCTTAGAACTTAACCTCAGAACACTGTAATGTTAATCCTTAATATTTTCCTACTTTTAAACTTATTTTTAACACTGTGATTAAGTGACTGCTTTTATTCTTCTGTTGTTTCCAAGAATCACACCTACGTACTTGTACCTAAGACGTTGCCATAAGAAGGCAGCCAGTGTAAAAGTTTTCACTGTACTCCTACAAAGCAGTACGTGTGACAACAAAAGGATATTGTATTGTGTTGGTAAATTGGGCAGAGCAATGGCAGATGGAATTTAATCCTGATAAGTGAAAGGTGATGCATTATGGGAGGTCTAATAAGGGAAGGATACACACAATGAGTGGTAGATTGCTTAGGATTACCGAGGAACAAGGGACCATGGTCCATAGATTCCTGAAGATATCAGTACAGCTAGACAAGGTGGTGAAGAAGGCAAATGGGATGCTTGCCTTCATTAGCCAGTGTGCAGAATATAGGAAGAAGGAAGTCTTGTTTCAACTTTATAAAGCGTTGGTTAGGCCACACGATGGAATATTGTGTGCAGTTCTGGTCACTGCACTATTGGTAGGACCTGATTGCACTGGAGAAGGTGCAGAAGAGATTCACCAGGATGTTGCCTGGGATGAAAGGTCTCAGTCATGAGTAGAGACTGGATAGGGTGTGTTTGTTTTCCTTGGAGCAGAGGAGGCTGAGGAGACGGTGGTGGAGGTTGGTGGTTAGGGGAATCTTACTGAGGTATAGACAGGGTAGATTGTGAGAATCTCTTTTCCATGTCCAAGACCAGAGGGCATAAGTTTAAGGTAAAGAGCAAATGCTTTGGAGGAGATCTGGTGGGGGGGAAGAAATGTTCACTTGCAGGGTGGTAGCTACCTGAGAGGATGATGGAGACAGGTGCTCTCACAAGATTTAAGAAGCAGCTGGATGAGCACTTAAGATGCCATGGTATAGTAGACTACAGACCCAATGCAGGTAAATGGGATTAGTGCAGTCTGTGTCTGTTGGTCAGCAGAGACATGGTGGGCTGAAGGGGCCTGTTTCTATGTCGTATGACTTTATGACTCCATGTTTAAATGGGACACTTGTTTACTCAATGAAAACCAACTTTGTGTAACCACATCGCATGGATGTTCAAATTTCTAACTGCTGAACAATCTTCCAACTCCAGCAGTCCATCTCTTTATTGTGTTTTAAAACTGGATCCCATTTCGGATTGAAATCCTGTCCTTGGAGAGTCACAGCGTTCGCTGACAGAAGTTAATCTGTATCATACAAACGGTTCTGGAGGGAGACCTGAGAACATCACTCAGGTTTACTCGCCAAGAGGCAATAATATTTGATACAGAATTCCACAACAGTATCACTGGACACTCCCATGGCCTTCAGAAGCCTAGAGAGACAGAGAGAGAAAATTCATCAAATATAATCTATACAGAACACAACAACATTCAAATTAGAGAATCCAGTGCAACTACGTAGTGAAGTGAAGTCCCACAGGGTGACAATAACTTTGCTGAAATGTGAAGGAGACCATTCAGCCCACTACATCATTTAGTAGAGCTACCCCCATTAGTCCCATTCTCTTGATTGCTCTACATACTGCAAAATTAGTTCCCATTAAAGGATTTATGGATTGTCTTCTTATTGTAAAGGTAAAGTCGTTACAGTCCCATAGGACTGCTGTCTCAGAGAGAGAGAGACACAACTGTTGGCGCTTTAACTTGAGAGTCACTGTGCCTCAGGTAAGGGGTGAGGTTAAGGAGGAGAATCCTTCATGGTAACCTCGGCGATATGGGAACTGAATCCACACTGTTAGCATCACTCTGCACCATAAACCAGCCAACTGAGCTAACTGACCTCCTGTGGCATAGCGGACAGTATCCCTGTCTCTGAGCTCCAGGTTCAAATTGCAGTCCAGGACTTGATGGTTGAAGATGGTGTGTTCATGATGCAGTCAAACAGATTGAGAGTCAACTGCAATTTTTTTTCAATACGTGTCAATTGTAGGCAGTAAGAGCAGGACAGATTCCTGGTCATGTGTGTGACAGAGAGAATATTGGAGCTGGTACCCTCAATAGCCATAGCTCTAGTCTATAACATGAATGTAACAGTGTATGTTGGCACAGGAACCTGAACTGTCTGAGTGACATCACCTAACTATTTATCTAGGTCTTTTCTGAAAGTTATTATTGAATAAATTCCCACTGCCGTTTCAGGCAGCACATTCTGACCGACTTGATAAAGATTTTTCTCAACTCACCTTGTATTTTTGGCTTTAAATCTGTCTCCTCAGGTTACTTACCATCTCACTGCTGGAAACAACTACTGCCTGCAAATCCCTTCATAAATTAGGGGCAGCACAGTGGTTAGCACAGCTGCCTTACAGCACCAGAGACCCGGGTTCAATTCCACTCTCAGGCGACTGTGTGGAGTTTGCACATTCTCCCCGTGTCTGTGTGGGTTTCCTCTGGGTGCTCGGGTTTCCTCCCACAGTCCAAAGATGTGCAGTTTAGGTGGATTGGTCATGCTAAATTACCCATAATGTCCAGGGATGTATAGACTAGGTGGGCTAATCAGGGGAAATGCAGGGTTACAGGAAAAGGGAAGGGGTGGGTTTGGATGATACTCTAAGGAGCAAAATCCCAGCTTTTCTGGTCTTCCCATAGAACTGAAGCACCTCAACCCCCAGTAAATTTGCTTTGGCCTGTCCTAGGCCTCAGAAATCATTCCTAAAACATGGAGTGAACGCAATGAACCGGCTGAGTAATGTATAATGGCATAACATCATTTCATTATCCCTATATTGTACACCAGTATTTATAAAGAACAGCATACTGTATGTTAACAGCTCACTCAACCTGTCCTGTGACTTTCAAAGATTGTGTACGGTTCCTGCAAACTGCTTGAAGTATTTCCAATTGATCCTTGTACATTATTCCCTCAAATTGAGAGCATTAAAGTTCCCAGAACGGAAATCTACATCAGGTAGGTACATCCTGTAGCTTACATTCTAAATTGGACAGCTGTCACTGCTGACTCTTAATATGTTAACAATACGCATTGGGGAAATTCTATCCGAGTATGATGTGATATTTGAGAGCAGAGAAAATTCATTCATGGGCTGAGAGCATTGCTGAAAAGGTCAACATTTATTGGCCTTCTCTAATTGTCCTTGAGAAGGTGATGGTGAGTTGCCTTGAGTCCCTGCAGTCTGTATTGATGTGGGTCTACCCACAGTGCTGTTAGGGAGGGAGTTTTGACCCAGTGTTATGACCATGTGAGGAGGGGAGATCGGTTACCCAAGATTGAGCCCCTCTCTCAGTTGGTTGGAACAAACATTTTCATCTTGTTAGCATGCAGCTATCACAGTTTAATTTAATGAACTAAATCAAAATGAATTTAGTTTTCTCTGCAGCGACCAGGACGAACAGGCACAAGGTCAGGGAAAACGGCGGTCAGTCCAGAAGGAATTAGCACATGACCCAAGGAGAAAGTTACATTTCTCTTTCATGTTTTACAGTATTGTTTTCTTGATAAGTTTAAAATATGTCAATAAAGAAAGGCAAATAAATCTTCAAGCTCTTTAAAAAAGGACATTTCATAAGGGAGTGGCTTTCCAAGGTCATCAAAACCAAAACACAGAAACGGAACACATGAATGGGTAAGATTTTCACTTACCATGAAACGGATGATGTCCAATGCACTATTTGCTTGAAAGCAAACACTGCAGGTGAGGTTAGCACTGGCAAAAGTGGCAGGACTGGGGAATGGGACTACCTGAAGTTGCATTTGAGCCAGAACTTGCACATCGACACTATTATTACTTCACGAAACCAGAGCGAAGGTGGAATTTTACGAATACTCACCAAAGCACCAGGAGGTTGCGAGATGAGGGTGGAGCGTACAGAGTGCAAGAAGGGACCAAATCCTGACATGGTGAAAGTTCCCACTGATAATGTCATATTTGCAGTGAAGGTGAATGTGTCTGTGATTTCTGGGCAAGACGTTGATGATCATGTGGCGAAGCATGCAGCAAGAATTACATCTTTGACGTTGTAGAGTGTATTGGTTTGTTGTACAGAGACAATTCCCAGATGAACTGTGCAAGTCATGTTTTCATCTGCTGATACCGGACAAAAATATGAACATTGCAGTACAAAAGAAAAGTTGATTTTGTACATCAAGTTTTGACCAGAATCTGAACTTACTTATAATACTGTAGTTGTAGGAATTTTGAAACTGCCTGTGAGAGTGCCTCCGTTGTGACATCAATCAAGCAACTGTATTTAACATTGACCTTGCTTTACAGAAGATGATGTTTACATCAGACAGAGCTTCTGCTGTGCTGAGAAAGAAATATGGGGCAGCCACAGTCTTGTGACACAAAACCAAATATCTGTCAGAGCAGAATTGTGTAGCTCACAGAGAAGGTCTGGGGAATAGATGATGCTTGGAGGCTGGTGTCAATTATGCAAGGCATTGACATAAATAAAACCGAGAACTGCGGATGCTGGCAATCTGAAATAAACAGAAGTTGCTGGAAAAAGCCAGCAGGTCTGTGGACAGAAAGGAAAGTTAATGTTTCAGTTCCAGTGACCCTTCATCAGAACCAGGCTTCTCTTGTATGGTGCTTCTAAGGACAGCGCATGCAATGTTCAGCAGGTCAACTGTGAAGAAAGGACAATTTGAAGATTTGGCCAAAGTTTCAGAGTGCGTAACACAGTGGCATTTTGACTTCTGAATGAAGTTTTTTTTCATTCAGTCACAGGATGGGGGCATTGCTGGCCTGGCAGCATTTAATGCCCCTCCCTAATTGCCCAGAGGGCAGTTAAGAATGAACCACATTGCTGTGGGTCTGGAGACATATGTAGGCCAGACCAGGTAAGGATGGCAGTTTCCTTCCCTAAAGGGAATTAGCAAACTAGGTGGGTTTTTCTGACAATTGACAATGGTCATCATTAGATTCTTAATTCCAGATATTTTTATTGAATTTAAATTCCACCATCTGCTGTGGCAGGATTTGAACCTGGGGTCCCCACAACATTGTCCAGGTCTCTGGATTAACAGTCCAGTGATAATACCACTAGGCCATCTCCTCCTCCACAAGTGAAGTGGTTTTCAAGACACTTAGCAGAGAATGCAGTAATGCAAAACTACATTGTTGTGATCGAGTACTGCAGAGAGTAAGTGACTAAGGGCAGCAATCCAATAAACAAGTATTGCCTGAAAATGCTCAGAAAGCCCCAATAATGCATTGCATTGTCACCTCCTAATGGGGGTGTTCTCGGTGAACTGGTATCACTGTATTAATTCTTACAGAGGAACTGTGTGACAGTGACTGAAACCGCACAGTTTGACTCAATCACAATGTGGCCACCTGGAAAGCAGATTTCCAGAAGAGGGATTGAGAGAGTGGCATGCATTTGATCAGGCTGCAATCACCAAGATAAGTGATTGTCAGTTTGGAAAAGGCAGTATTTTGTGACTGATAGTGAAATAGCGTACTTTTATAGCAATCCATGACAAAAGTGTAGCCACAAGGACATGTGAGGAATATTTTTGTTGCAAATTTATAGTTGTGGAGAAAGTCAAGACAGGATCCATTCAGATATCCAGTGATTTAGTGGACAGTGCTGTAAAAAATGACCAGTTTCAAGAAATGTCTGTTCTTCTGGACATTTGAGCAACATTTCAGGCGTCAGGTGTTGACAGTGAACATGTTAGCCTCATGAACTTGATGACATGCTATTCCAGAAAGAGTTTAGAAATAGATCACTTGGACAACTTGATGTGAATTAAATTGTACGTTTCATCTGGACAAAATATCAACCTGAATGCACTCTACAATCATTGGGCAGCAAATAACGATAGGTGCAACAAAGTAGTGAATAAATTATTAGTGGCCACTTTGGTCACACAATATGTGGTGTACATAGCGCCACCACTAAACAGGTCCCCCGATGTCTGAATTGAGCAAATAATTTTGTTTATTTTAGAAAGTGGAATATCAGTAGCTGTAAAATAATACAATTACACACTTACTAATTAACACCATAAAAAAAATTGAATGCACACATGTAGAATGCCTATTACTGTAAAATAATATAAATATACACGCTTAATAGCTAATAAACTGTGAAAAAGTTACAATATTATTTCTGCTCAATGGATACAATGATCTACTCAGACTGCTCCAGCTTCCACACAGGCCTCACAAAGGTTAAAGGAAATGCTGCCATGCAGCCTCAGAGATAGTAAGAACTGCTGATGCTGGAGTCAGAGATAACACAGTGTGGAGCTGGAGGAGCACAGCAGGATAGGCAGCATCAGAGGAGCAGGAAAGTTGACATGTCCATCCTGGGCCTCCTCCAAAGTCACAATGACGCCACCCAGAAACTGGAGGAGCAGCACCTCATATACCACCTTGGGAGCCTACAACCCAATGGCCTCAATGTGGACTTTACCAGTTTCTCAATCTCCCCACCCCTGGCCTCATCCCATGACTAACCCTCACTCACATCCCCGCCTCATTGACCTGATGCAACCTGTCAATCTTGTCTCTCATCTATCCGCTCCTCCCACCTCACTGACCAATCCCCACCACTGCCTACCTGCATTCACGTATCACCATCCCACCCACGTTCCCAGCCCCACCCCTCCTCTCTCTATTTATTTCAGAGCTCCCTTCCCCCTCCCCATTTCTGAAGAAGGGTCCCGACCCGAAATGTCAGCTTTCCTGCTCCTCTGATGCTGCCTGGCATGCTGTGTTCCTCCAGCTCCACGATGTGTTATCACTGCCATGCAGCCCGTTGTGCATTCAGATAGAATCTACAGTCCTCTAATCCCACAGCCAATTCATATTCAAATTATCCTCGAGTTTGTGCCCCCATTATCAAACCAGTCTGAGCAGTTCCATTCCATGTGCTGATCAGTAAAATCTGTTGGTTTTAACCAGTGGACTCTGCTTCTATTGTACGTCTGTAGGACCAAGCGTTGGAAGCTTATGGTGGGGATGAAGTGCTGCCACCAATCCTCCTTTCAGTACTGGGTCTAAGGGACTGATCAGTTAACAGTGGCAGAAAATGAACCATTGTGAGTCTTAACAGGAAGAGGCACTTGTCTGAACAAGAAGGTGTGGGTTATTGCATGATAGCAATACATAGATATACATTGGCTAGTTACTAACAGTAACAGGAGACAGAGATGAGCCCACCAGGATCCAGAGTAAACTTCCCAAGTTATCATCCAGCAGTCTATAGCGTTAACAATTTCCAAACCATTTCTTTAAAAAAGCAGATCCTACTGCAAGACTTTTTTTTCCCCTCTGGGGGAGTTCATGCCAAATTGGCTAACGGCAGCAATACTCTGAAACTTGCTTTTCCTGAACGTCCTTGATCATTGGCTGACCCTGCATTTTCAGATGCTGTTACAAAGGGGCAGCATGCGGGTGAGAAATAGGAGCCAGCTGAGGATCAATGATCGAGGTGCTCCGGAGATACCGGAAAGGGACTGAGAATAGAATCCATTACGGATGATTCTCTGGTTACAATTGGTTACCATCGCCAAATCCCCTAACTTCACCAGGAATGTACAGTAATTGAAGATGACATGAAGATATCAGAACACCAGCGACTCTGAAGGCCGGAATGGTCCAGGTAGGCGGGATCCTTGAGGAGCTATGGCAGTGAGGAATTATCATGACGGTCAACTTTTACAACCTTGCGTTCATTCTAGGCATCATCCAGATACACTAATGGGTTCTCCCTGTTGGACAGCTGATCTGCGGGCCCAGTATTTATTGCTGGCTCCCAACACTCGCCATCTGAAGGAAGCTGCACCTTGCTTGACCTCAGAGGGGAGTCTGCCTGTGTGTTGCGTCCATGCTGCACATGATATTCTTTCTAACCGTGCATTAGTGCCCACCAACATGTATGCGCTTGCATTGGGGGAAGAGTGGACTGGGCAGATTTGATACTGTCTCCTCAGATGGCAGATCCTCCTCTGAGCATTCACGCAGTCCTGTAGTTGTTGTTGGCCATGACCTTGGATACTCCACATCCAGGAAGGGGCAAGAGTGGTGTGGCCCTCTTGTGCTTTCACTCACTGACTGCTGCCTGCACTTGGTCTGGAGTTTCCTGCATTCATCAGCGCACACAAGGGCCCCATAGTTAGTAATCCCCCGGTTCAAAGAGTTCGACGCCCAGTTCCATCACCTTCCACAAACAGTACACCTGCCTCACCTTCATTAATGGGCTGTCCTCCTCTATTAGGGTCACTACAGCACACCATCTCTAGCTCTTTCTGCTCCCTAGCATTGCAAGCAGACTTACACAGATTCACTCACCTCTCTTCATCCCACTGCCCCTGTCAGTCAGTGCTAACCTCCGTGCCCAGCAAGGGAGACCTGCTGCAAGCAGCCATTCAGCGCTGGTAATGCATCGAGCACCACTGGGTGAGTGTGGGCTTCCTGTGCCAAAGTCCTCCAAGTTTCCCTGGTCTATCTAATCAGCCCCAATGCACAAGTATCTACCTTGGCATCATTTACCTTGATTTTTATGATAATGCAACTCACCTTGTCAAAATTCTAGATTTATTAATCAGTTGATTTAGAATTCTGCCAGTCGCCATGGGGTTGGGATATGAACCCATGTACCTAGACCTCATTAAACTGGGATTATTAGTCCAGTGAAGATACCACTTGGTCACCATTAGCCCCTAGACAGAGGCATGATGCTGACAAAATAATGTCCAGTGACAACATAGGACTGTCAACTAGGGTGTGGGTTGGGAAGAGTGAAATCTTTGTGTTGACACTAGCTTATAAGTGAGATGCTGTTGACTTTTGTTCAGGCAGGAAAAGGGATTCTATTCGGAGCTGCTCCAGTTATGGATAGACGATTGGTTATCGGGCAGAAAGCAGACAGCTGGCACAAGCAGGGCATTTTCAAGTTGGCGGTCTACAGCTGGAGGAGTTCCATAGGGATCAGTGCTGAGGCCTCAATTATTTATAATGACTGTTAAGAATTTAGTTGTCGATATGGAGGGTAATTTATCTAAGTTTGTGGATGATATAAAGCTCAGGGAAAGGTGTGTGAGGAGGAAAGCAAAAGGTTGCAGAGAGATATAGACAGGTTAAGTGAGTGAGAGAAAAGATGGCAGGCAGATCATAATAGTGGGCATGTATGAAATAATTCAATCACTTTGGTCAATAGAATTTCAAAACAGAACATTTCTTAGAACACATGAAACTTGTAAATGTTGATATGAAGTGGGAACTTGGATGTACTCATACAAAGGAATCAGAAGGTCAACAAGTAGGTACATGTGGCACGTTTACTTTTACTGCAAGAGGTTTGAAATTACAGGAATAAAAGAAATCTCACTACAATTGTACAGGATTTTGGTGAGGCTACATCTGGTATCCTGTGTGCAGTTTTGTTCTCCATATTTAAGGAAGAGTATACTTGCATTGGAGGCTCTACGGTGAAGGCTCACTAAATTATGTCCCTGGAATAAAGGGATTTTCATATGATGAGGAGCTGAACAAATTGGGCCAATACACTTTGGAGTTTAGAAGAATGAGGGGCAATCTCAGTGAACCACACAATTCCAAAGAGGCTTGATAGGGTAATCACTGAGGGATTGTCTCCATTGGTCCTGGAATCTAAAATGTGGGGGTACAGTCTCAGGATGAGGGGCCAACCATTTAGGACTGAGATGAAGAGAAATTGCTCACTCAGGGGCTAATGAATCTTTGGAATTCTCTATCTCAGAGGGCTGTGGATGGTTCATCAATGAATAAATTTAAGGTGATGATAGATAGATTTTTGGTCTGTCAGGGAATATGAGAGCAGGCGGGAAAGTGGAGTTTAAAATATCATAACTCTATTTAGCTGATGGCTACCACTGACCTCCCAGCACTGAGATAACTGTTGATGTGGTTGGTCTATCAAGGCAAGAAGCTATGGGTTCGGGTACCAAATACCCCTGTAGAGGGCATTTACTCCCTGTAACTGTCTTCAATTGATTGAAGTCTTCATCAAGGTAAAGCCTAGGGGATTAACTCTTGTTAAAACTTAAGTTATTACAGCCGAATGAATAAAGTAAAGGTTTGGAACATTTACCATGAAAGAGAGAGGAAAGAAAGGATTAAGGTGGTGAGGGTTAGAAAAGATATTTCAGAATTCAACACAAATTGAGCAGGAGATCCTCTCGATTTCAAACATGGTGATGGATCTACCATCCAATGTGTTCAATGCATATATATTCATTATAGATAATTATCACTTTACATTTATTTCCTATAAAAGTCAATAAATGACTGAAATGAAATGCCTTGAGGAATTATTTCTGAAGCTATTTGTAAGAATATCTGTTCCCTAACGGAGTATATATGTTTCTCCTGTATGTTCACGTAGAATTAACTATATTAAAATTTGCCTGATTACATATTTGATCAAATTCATCTGTCAGTTCTCAGAATTGACAGTCTATAACTTTGATCAGTTTCTGCAGTTTTACTGAATCTGAATCATTAACATGAATTAGGATCAATAGGGAAGACCCAATTCCAATCCCAAAACAGGCCACAGGACCACTAAGTCCACAATACACTTGAATAACATCAGGCAAATCAGCTAAAAGAATATGGTTTACATGCAGTTTTGTACCTTTGCTTAGTATTCTCCAATGAGACTTCAGCATTTTCTGGATCTTTCTTTCGGTAGGCTTGATATAAAACCGAGGAATTCAGAAATCCAATGAGCCACAAAAGTGGTTTCTTCAGCCTGATATAAATGTCTTCAGCTCTGTGATAAGGAAGATGTTATTAATGAAAGAATAAAACACTAAAGTAGAATTTCACCTTTCATAGGTGTATCCTTAGATAGTATTGCGATATTTGGGAGGTCTTGAGGGCAGTGAGCCAGAGTTCTGGACTTGAGTCCCACTCCAGGATTTGATGGTCAAGAAAACACATTCATAACTTTGCCAAACAGTTTCAGTATCAACCTGTAAATCATTCCAACACGTTAATGGTAACTGGTAAGAATGGCAATAATTCCTGATCAGCTATGTGATTGAAAGAAAGTTGGATCCTCTGCCATAACTATTGATAACTTCAAGCTACAATATGCACGTAAAAGTGTATATGGTTACAACAACTCAAGCTCTCTGAATGAACAATAACACACCCAACACCACTGGTACATTCACTGCTCGGGTATTAAGATAAATGCTTAATATAAAAAACTGCCTATTATGGGTAGCACAGCGGCTCAGTGGTTAGCACTGTTGCCTCACAGCACCTCAGACCTGGGTTCGATTCCACCCTCAGGCGACTGTCTGTGTGGAGTTTGCACATTCTCCCTGTGTCTGCCCGAGTTCCCTCCCACAGTCCAAAGATGTGCAGGTTAGGTGGATTGGCCATGCTACAATTGTCTGTGGTATTCAGGGATGTGCAGGTTAGGGGAATCAGCCATGGGAAATGTGGGGTTATGGGGATACAGTAGGGGGCTGGTCTGGGTGGGACGCTCTTTGGCAGGTCAGTGCGGATTCAATGGGCTGGATGGCCTTTTCTACATGATAGGGATTCTATGATTCTAAATTGCCATAGGATTGCAACAACACACCAATGTTTGTTTCACCTGTGCATGAACCCAAGAGATGTTATGTTCTACATGTGGGGATAACATTTGGAAAGTTGGAGGGAGGGTAGAAAGACAAAGGACAATTAAAAAAAGTAATGAGTCAAAGGAAGAGAACCACAGAACAGAGGTGACCCCATTCCTGTGAGGGGATGACCCAGACACATTCTTTGGAAATGCATGGATTCAGGGAGGGCTAGTGCCCCTGGCTTGAGAAAGGATAAGGGAGGGGATGGGGGCACATTTAACCAGAATCATTGAGGTTAGTGTAAAAGGTGTCACTTTTTAATAATACTGCTGCATTGATAATCACCTCAGCCATAAATACAGCAGGATGACAGTAACCATTTGGCATCATTGACGGTACTGTTCAACTCAGCTCAGTGACAATGTCCACACTTCAGAGACCTGAACACCACACATTCTAGCACTCCGGTATGGTCCTGAGAGAAAATGGACTGACTGACTGTGCCAAAGGCTGTGATAAGGTGCAGGAGCATAAGCAGTGATGATGCACAAAGGATGTGAGTGGTAACATTAAACAGTATAGGGCCAGCACTATGATTGGGACGATCTGGCTGTAAACCTTTGAAGAGTGAGTGAAGGAACAGGTTTATGTTGATAGAAATGAGTTTCCAAATCTAATCCAATGTGCGCTGTTACAGAGGCAAGACATTATTAAACCCGTTCTGAAATGGCTTCTAAAATGGGATGACCTAAGCTCTGAATTAAAATATTTGTAGGGCTACATGGAAAGCATAACCAGGGAATTTCCCTTGCAGAGATACTGGTACTGACACAACAAACTGAATGGCCTCCTCCTATGCTATAACGTGCCCATCATGGTCGCAGTCCCACTAAAGCAAACACAGAAAATGCTGGAGAAGCTCTGCAGGTCTGGCAGCATCTGTGGACAGAGAAGCAAGATTTTGGCAAAGATCTGTAGATCAGGTTGTGGATGAAGTTGTTGACTTGCTCGCCGAGCTGGCTTGTTCTCGTTCACATGTTTTGTCACCATGCTAGGTGACATCATCAGTTGAACCTCCATTGAAGTGATGTTATTCTACTCTGCTTGGAATTTATACTGTCTGGTCCGTTATGGTGAGTAGTGTCATTTCCGGTTTTGATCTGTATGGGTTTGTATATGGGGTCCAATTCTATGTGTGTTGATTGCATTATGGGGGGAGAACCATGCCTCTAGGAATTCCCGTGTATGTCTGTGTTTGGCTTGGGCTACTGTAGTTACCTTATCCCAGTTAAACTGATGGCCTTCATTGTCTAAGTGTACTGGGACAAGGTAACCATAGTAGCCCAAGCCAAACATAGACATGCATGGGAATTGCCAGAGGCATGGTTCTCCCCCGCAATGCAATCAACACACATAGAATTGGACCCCATATACAAACCCATACAGATCAAAACCAGAAATGAAACTACTCATCATAACGGACCAGACAGTATAAATTCTTAGCGGAGGAGAATAACATCACTTCATCGGAGACTCCACTGATGATGTCACCTAGAATAGTGATGAGACGTCTGAATGAGAATAAGCCAGCTCGGTGAGCAAGTCAACAACCTCAGAGAAACAAGAGTTTAAGCTTTGTGTCCAGTATGACTTCTTCAGAACTGAAAGTGCGTGGAAAATGGTTTCATATATTTTTGACAGAGGCAGAGGCCCAGTGCAAAAAACAAATGGGATGTTAATAGTGGAGAAAAGCAGAAAGAAATTAAATTCAGGTGTGAAAGGGAGGGAATGGTTTTTTTCTACTAGGAGCAAAGCAAACAAGACAAGGCTGTTGAGGGGAGCAGGCAAAGAGAATGTAATAAAAATGGATAAGAGACATAATGCAATTAGTTTCTAAAGTTAATGAATTCAATATTGAGACCTTGAGGCTGTAAAGTGCCTAAGCAGAAATGAGGTGTTGTTCCTAACTTTAGATTTAACTTCAGAAACTGATCACATTATTCTTAGATTGTCTCCACTAGCACCCCCCAACAGCTTTGTCTTGCTCCTAGTATAGAGAACCCAGTCCCTCCCTTTCACACCTTACTTTACACCTGTTTTACGTGCCTCTGTCTTTTGCATTAGGTCTCTGCCTCTATGAAAAGTATGGAAAAAATTATTTTTCCAACACCTTTCAGTTCTGAAGATGACTCAAGACTGTTCCTCTATCCACTGATGCTGCCAAATCAGAGTTTGTTCCAGATTTCTAACATTCACACTATTTTACCTTCATTTGACAGTAAGATTCAGATCAGTACACAGATATCACAGCAGGTAATTTGAAAAATAATAATAAATAATATCCCCCCAACCCACCCCATAAAGATGAATGCTAACATTGCTGTGTGATGTCGGGCAGAAGGTAGAAAAATTTGAAAACACATAGCAACAGATTCAAGAACAGCTTCTTCCCTGCTGTTATCAGACATATGAACAGACTTCTCATATATTAGAGTTGATCTTTCTCTGCAGTTGTTGTATTACCGTGATGTACTTATATAAGGTATGATTTGCCCATATTTCACACAAAGCAATACTTTTCACTGTATCTCGATGCATGTGGCAATAACAAATCAAATCAAATTTACCTCTCTTTATCAGGGAAAGTGATAGCATCAAATATGTCCCTGTATTCATTCCACACAATTTTATTTGCATTGGTCTCATAGGGCACTAATGTTTGGAACAACTGCAATGAGAACATAAAATGGAAAGAGTTACCACATTTAATGATAGATCTACTATATATACTCAAGTGAAACAGAGATAGAAGTTTACTGTAAAAGCTTCTATAGATACATACAAAGGAAATGTTTGGCTAAAACAGATGTAGGTCCATTACAGACAGAGGCAGAAAAATTTTCCAATGACAAAAGATAATTGGCACAGAAGGTAAATGAATACTTTATGTTCAGTGTTCTCTCTATGTTTTGTGGGGCCTGTGTGGAACCTGAAGCAATGTGAGTAGCTCATTGCGTCCATTAAGTGGAAGTCATATTGCCATTTTGTTTGCAGTTTGTTTATTAACTATTAAGAGGGTGCATTTACATCATTTTACAGTCAGGAATTCTACTTGCTAAAATAAACAGTTTGCTCAGTTCAGAAGTCTGAGGACCCATTTAGTGATGGTGATTTGTACACCACATATACTACATGGCCTAAAGAGGCCACTTATAATTTATTCACTACTTTGTTGCACGTACCATTATTTGCTGCCCAATAATTTAGACTGAATTCAGGTTGATATTTTGTCCAGATGAAATGTACAACTTAATTCACATCAAGATGTCCAAGTAATCTATTTCTAATCTCTTTATGGTTTCTCTTCGTTGAGTTCGTGAGGCTAACATGTTCACAGTCAACACTTGCTGCCTGAAATGTTGCTCAAATGTCCAGAAAGACAGACATTTCTTGAAAGTGGTTGTTTTTTAGAACACAGTCCACCAAATCACTGGATATCTGAATGGAACTCGTCTTGACTTTCTCCTCAACTATAAATTTGAAATAGGAGCATTCCTCTCATATCCTTGTGACCATATTTTCACCATAGTTTGGTATAAAAGTGGACTATTTCACAATCAGTCATACAATACCGCCTTTTCCAAATTTACAATCGGTTGTCTTGGTGTTTGCAGTGTCATCAATTGCATGTCACTCTCACAATCCCTCTTCTGGAAATCTGTTTTCCAGGTAGTCACATTGCAGTTAAATCAATTAGAGGATTGTAGCAGTGTCCATATCACTTTTGAGAGCAACTGGAACCTTCTTAACTTCATCACTCCAATACACACTTTCCCTAGACATTGAGACTTTGGGTTATTGATCCTGGCCATTGCAAATCGCATAGCTTCAATTGCTATCAGACAGCTTCTCTTAGAATTAGCACATTGTACCAGTTCATCGAGAACACCATTCAGACCTGTCAATGCAATGCAATATTGTGGCTTTGTGAGCATTTTCAGGCAATATTTGTTTATTGGATTGTTGCATTTATTCACTTGCTGTCAGCTGTACTCAATCATGACACTGTAGTTTTGCATTAGCACGAACACTGTGTCAACCTCACTTCATTCAGAGTTTGAAATGCATTGCATCTTACATGCTGTAACTTGGGAATAATCATCAAATTGTCTTTTCTTCACGGTTGACCTGCTGAACTTTACATACGCTGAGAAAGAGGTTAAAAAAAATCTCCCAGAAGTAGAGAACAAAGTGAATAATGAGGAGTTGAAGGAAATTAACATTAGAAAGAAAATTATATTGGTGAAAGTAATGGGACTGAAGGTTGATAAATCCTCCAGACATGATGGGTTTTCATCCTCGAGTGTTGCAGATGGCAGCTATAGATATCGTTGATGCATTGGTGATTATCTTCCTATATTCTATAGATTCTAGAATGATTCCTGTGGATTGGGAGGTAGAAAATTTCACCCCTCTATTTAAGAAGGAAAAAAAGAGAGAAAACAGGGAACTATAGAACTGTGAACCATAAGGAATTAGCAGCGGGGAATGTTAACATCTATTATAAAGAAAAAATATGAGGTAATGCAGCAAGTCTTAAATGGCAAGTGGTTGGAATGTGCAGATATACAAAGGGACTTAGGTGTCATAGATCATAGAATCCCTACAGTGTGGAAACAGGCCCTTTGGCCACATGGACTCTCGGAGCATCCCACCCAGACCCATCCCCCTATAACTCACCTAATCTACACATCCCTGAACACTACAGGCAATTTAGCATGGCCAATCCACCTAACATGCACATCTTTGGACTGTGGGAGGAAACCGGAGAGCCCGGAGGAAACCCACGCAGACACAGGGAGAATGTGCAAACTCCACACAGATAGTTACCCAAGGCTGGAATCAAACTCGGGTCCCTGTTGCTGCGAGGCAGCAATGCTAACCACTGAGCCACTTTGCTGCTGTGCCCTTGTTGATAAGTTAACAAAGGCCAATTTCCAGGGGCAGCAAGCTACTAGAAAGGCTAATGAAATGTTAGCCTTTATTACAAGATGATTTGAATACAGGACTCATGAAGCCTTGCTTCAACTGTATAAAAGAGCTTGGTTAGACCGCGCATGGAATAGCATGTGCAGCTTTAGTCTCCTTGTCTCAAGAGCAATGATATTGCCATCAATGGAGCGCAATGAACGCTCACCAGACTTATTCCCGGGATGGCAGGAATGACTTGTAAACAGAGTTTGGGCAAACTGGCCTAGTGTTCTGAAGAGTGAGATGAGATCTCATTGAAAGCTACAAAACACTTAAAGGGATAGACAGGGAAGATGCAGCAAAGTTAATTCGCCTGGTTGATGTATATAGATCGATCCAGAGCACAACTTTAAAGTAAGGATGCGCCACTTAGGTCTGAGACGAGAAGAGTTTTTTAAAAAAAATTTAGAGGATTGTGAATAATTGGAATTTTCTACCACAAAGGGCTGTGCAAGTTCAATCTTTGAGTGTGATTAAGATAGAGACTGATAGATTTCTGATTGCTAACGGTGTACAATATAATGAGGATGAGGTGGGGGGAAAAGTCATTGAAATGTTCCAGCAGCCATGAGCGCACTGAATTGTGGGAGCAGGTTCGACGGGCTGAATGGCCTACTTCTGTTTTTTTAATGTCTTATGCTCCTATTAGTCAGTCTGATGCACAAGTCGACTTCCAACGTTTGGCTCCAAAATCTTTCATTTTTGAATAGACATTTTGCTCGTTTTTGAAGCAGAGAACAGCTTAATATGTCGTCTTCATGATTGTTCTTTTCTCATTTCAAACGCAGAATTACTGGGGAGCAGTCACCCCCGGCTGTATTCAGCACCCTGGCCAGCAACCCGAGTCTGCAGCATGGGCGGCATTTCCAAAGACCTGGCGTGGAGTCCAACTTCTTGAAAGTATCACCCTTGTTTAAAAGCCTGATCTCGAGAGCCCGACTTTGACACGAGTATATACAACTACATATATTGTGGTAATGAAGTATTCACACATGCTCAGATTCTACTCTTATCTAAACAATTCCTTCATTGGAATGTAGCTACTGTGAAGCAACCTTACCCTCGCATTGCACTGCACTGTCAACATTGCAAAACCTGACCTGCTTTGATAGTTTGTGGTGGTTACTGGCGGTGTTGATTTAGCTGGATTTGGGATGTTAGCCTTTCCTACTAACATTAACAGCTTTTAAAAAAAATGGAAACCTAGCCAGTTTGGATGAAGGACAGGAAACCGAGAGGAACAACAACTCCTTAAGGGCTGCTGCTTGATATTAAGCAGATGCACTTTTAAACAAAAAATTCTTGTTGCTTGCACTGACACATAGAGCATAACCCTCTATCCTTAGGAGCTGTTCTCCAGGAAAGAAATTTTATAATTTATTTGCTCACAAGATATGGGAGTCACTGGCTAGGCCAGCAATTATTGCCCAACCCTAACTGCCTGGAAAGACAATTAAATGTTAACACATTGCTGTGGGTCTGGAGTCGCATGTAGACCAGACCAGGTTAGGATGGCAAATTTCTTTCCCAAAAGGACCTTAAATTGGCCCTGTTCAGAAAGAAAGGTCAACATTTGAGTTTAAAATATACAATTGTCACATATATATGATAGGCACATGGATGGTAGTAAAATGAAGTTTATTCAGGTTAGTTTGATCTTAGCATAGGATAAGAGGTCGACACAACATTATGGGCTGAAGGGCCTGTACTGTGCTATACTGTTCTATGTTTTATGTTCTATAATTTGTGGATAATAGAAAAAAAAGTGAATCAAATCTCTGATGATTTGGAAATCTGGGAGCAAATCAGGAAAAAAAGTTTGTAATTTCAAGAGGAGGGACTGAGTAAAGGTGCCCATTTTAGATCCACTATCTTAATGCTGAGGCCTGCCTGGCACCCATTAAATGAACTGAAGATCCCATGGGTAGTTCTATGGGAGATCGTTTTCTCTATGTTTTAAACACTATTATGACATTAAAATGAGTTTCTCTGGGAGAAGCATTGCACTGGAATATGTCAAGAATGACTTTTTCTAATTTATATTCTTCCATGGAATGTGGGAATCACTGGCAGGGCCAACATTTATCACCCACCCTGAATCATCCTTTAACTGAGTGGTTTTCTCAATGATTTCAGAGCACAGTTCAGAGTCAATCATATTACGGGGGAAGCTTTTTGCAATTGGAATTGGATGTTGTGTGGAACAAAAGAATACAACAGCAACAATTTGCATTTATATAGCACATTTAGCATTAAATAACACTTGACAACAAACTACATAAGGAAATTTTACTTTTACCATTTGTTCAAGGGATGTGGCTACCTTTGGTAAGACCAATATTGATTTTCCATTCCTAAATGTCTGAAAGAAGGCAAGCGACCCTCCTGGATGTAACAGGGTGGTGTCCTTGTCCTTTTCATGATCAGTTAAGAGTCTATCAGTGCTGGCATTTCTGTAGTCACATACAGGCCAGATTGGCAGATTTTCTTTACTAAAGAGCATGAAGGAACTGGATGGGTTTATATAATAATTTCAAAGTCACCATCATTGCCAGCACTTTTTAAAATTCAAGATTCATTTAATTACTTTTCCCATCTCCCACTGTAGGATGTGAACCCATGTCTTCCTATCATTAACCAAAACCTTAAGATTATTAAAGCAGTAGTATAGCAATTATGTTATCCTATCCCCAAGTGGGTCAGAGGTAAATTCTTAGTGACAAGTGGTGCATAGCCACATGAGAGTGAACCATAATGGATCTGTATTGGGCTTAAATGTCTTGTCTACCTGCAGGCTACACACTGTATTAGTGACAACAAGGTGCAGGGCTAGATGAACACAGCAGGCCAAGCAGCATCATAGGAGCAGAGAGGCTGACATTTCGGGCCTAGACCCTTCATCAGAAAAGGGGGAGGGGAAGGGGGTTTTGAAATAAATAGGGAGAGAGTGGGAGGCGGATAGAAGAGGGATAGAGGAGAGGAAACAAACAGGTCGAAGAGGCGGGGATGGAGCCAGTAAAGGTGAGGAGTTAGGAAGGGGATAGGTCAGTCCAGGGAGGACGGACAGGTCAAGGGGGCGGGATGAGGTTGGTCGGTAGGAGATGGAGGTGCGGCTTGAGGTGGGAGGAGGGGATAGGTGGGAGGAAGAACAGGTTAGGGAGGCAGGGACGAGCTGGACTGGTTTTGGGATGGTAGTGTGTGTCCAACTTGAGCCACCAACTGTGATTGACCCATTGAATGCCATTTACAATTACTTCCCATGAACAAGGAAGTCCCTGACCTTTATAGATAGTCATGGAGGTAACCAAAAGTAGGTTTTTAAGAAGCATCTTAAAGGAGGAGAGAAATATGAAAAAGCGGAGAGGTTTGGGAAAGGAATTCAAGACCTTAGGAAATCGATAGATGAAGGCATGGTGAATCAATGACAATTGGGAATGCTCTGAAGGCAGGGTTAGAGGAGTGTAGAGATATCAAAGGGTTGTGGAGCCAGAGGAAATTACAGAAACATGGAGAAAGTTAGACATGAGGAGACATGTCGACTGGACAGGACGGAGCTCCCCTGAATGCGTGGCATTTGGCACTGGATCGGGTTTGTCATAGTTAACATCTCACAAAAAGGCTGGCACTGACCACCAGTGCGGCCTCACTAGGACTTGATTCTCCTTGGTCAGGAACCATGTGCCTGATTCCACCCACACAGGACTCTTCACAAGCAGCATCATTGTCCCTTGTTAGTTTTAGTGAAATTGTGAAAGTTTTTGAAAAGAACAAAATAATGTCTGAATGTGTCCCTCAAGCTTACATTGAAAGGGGAATGAGTCTGATTGAAGAATAATTATTACAGTGTAGGGACAAATTACTGCAGTTGCTGGAGTCTGTACTGAAAACAACAAATGCTGGGAGATCACAGCAGGTCAGACAGCATCTATGGAGAGAGAGCAAACTAACGTTTCGCGTCTAGATGACTCTTCATCAGAGATGAAGTGAGGTGTGGAGGGGACAGCATTTATGCGATAGTTTGGGGGGGGTGGTGGTGTGGAGGTAGTGGGTGTAGGGTGTTGGTGGAGACGAGATGTTGATAGTTCAGATTAAGTGATTGGAATGTGAGAATGGCAGAACAATGGTGTGTCTCCTGCCAGACTGGAAAGAACAGTGATATAAAAGTGACAAAAAAGAAGCTCAGGCAAGTGATCAGTTTTAATTGAAACTGAAAAAATGTTCTCAGTGATATAAAAGTAACAAAAACAACACAATGTGGAGCTGGAGAAACATAGCTGGCCAGCATCAAGGGAGGAGGAAAGTTGACCTTTCGAGTCAGGACCCTTCTTCAGAAATGGCGGGGGAGGACATAACAAGCGACAAATAACACCTTCCGGTCGCCAACCATTTTAACTACCCCTCCCACTCCCTGGGTGACATGTCCATCCTGGGCCTCCTCCAGTGTCACAATGACGCCACCCGCAAACCGAGAGTAACATCTCATATTCCGCCTCAGGAGCCTACAGCCCGATGGCCTAAACGTGGAATTCACCAGTTTTAAAATCTCCCCACCCCCCAGCCTCATCCCATGTCCAACCCTCCTTCTCATCCCCACCTCCTTGACCTGACATAACCTGCCCATCTTCTCTCCCACCTATCCGCTCGTCCCACCTCACTGACCAATCCTCACCACTGCCTACCTGCACTCACCTATCACCATCCCATCTACCTTCCCCAGCCCCACCCCTCCTCTCTATTTATTTCTCAGCTCCCTTCCCCCTCCCCAGTTCAGAAGAAGGGTCCCGACCCAAAACGTCAACTTTCCTGCTCCTCTGATGCTGCCTGGCCAGCTGTGTTCCTCCAGCTCCACACTGTGTTGTTTTTGTTACTTTTATATCACTGAGAACATTTTTTCAGTTTCAATTAAAACTGATCACTTGCCTGAACTTCTTGTATGAATCATGGCTCAGCTTATCTCAGGATCAGACAGTTGTCCAGTCCAGACACCTAAGCACAGAATCTAGAAATAGCATTGTAGTCTAATATTGAGGGAGTGTTTGAGGTGAAACCTTTCAGATGAGACATTAAACCAAGTTCGTGTCTACCTTGTTGTTAACTGAAAAAGTTCTCATCAAATATTTTGAAGATTAGCAGGTGACCTCTCCAAGTTAGGATAGAAAATATTTATCTTTCAACCATCATTAGAACAATGATCTGCTGATTATCAAAGTTATTTGTGATTTGCTTTGTACAAATTAGCTGCTAACATTACAATAGTGGCTGCAATCGAAGAGCTGTAGAGCACTTTGGGATGTGGTAGTTGTAAATGTAAATGCAAGCCTTTCTTTCTAATTTCTTACCTCTTGGACAATCTGGGTTGGGGGTTCAGAACAATCATCGTAATTCAATATACAGGGAACTGCATAGCAATACAGAGCCAGGCAGCCTTTGGGTTTTAAAACTCGGTCAACTTCCTTCATGAACTTCTCCATGTCAAACCAATGAGCTGCTGCTCCCACGGTTACCAGGTCAACGGAACCATCCTTGAACTCCAGCTCTTCTGCCACACCTTGCCTATTGGGTGAATAAATAGAGGAATACAACAGCTTCAATATCTCTGCAGATGTTTAATAGATGTCCCAGCTATGTCTTGTACTCCAGGAGTTAATTCAGCTGTGATAAAGGCATCCGGAAGAACAATAGTTTTGGACAGGACTGACATGTAGAATCATGGGATTTTACAGCAAACAGGGTGGACATTATCATTATGCTTGTGCTGGCACTTTGAAAGTGCTATCCAATTACTTCCACTGTCTGCTCACTCCCAATAACTTGTTTATGTATATTCCCCTGCACCAAATACTATATTTTAAGGACCTGCATTCACCATCCATTACAAAAGAATAGGATGTATGGCATAGAAACAGGACATTTGGCCCAACCACTCCCTGCTGTGAGTCCTGGGGGGCCAGTCCCGGACCGGAGGCCGGTGCGGAGAAGTCGGGGGAAAGCGAGTCCTGGACCGGATGCCGGAACGGGGGGAGGCGAGTCCTGGACTGGAGGCTGGCGCGAGGGGCGGGGCAGGCCAGTCCCAGGACGGAGGCCGGCACAGGGGGAAGGCAGGTCCCAGACCGGAGGCCGGCGTGGGGGGAGGCGGGTCCCTTGTGGACTGGAAGCGTGGCATCAAGTTTTGAAGCCCAGTGCGATCTGGTGAACAAAACGGTTTTTCTTAGCCCGTCTTTGTTCCAATGAAATTACTTCTTCTTTATCTGGTCTCTTCTGATAGCTCAAGTCTCTTTTCCCAGATATCATCCCCCTTCACCCTCTCCATGACCACGAATATGACCAATCTTCCTGCACGAATCATCAGATCACATTGTTTTAAAAAGTGATCTCTTTACAAATCAGAGCTCTACATCCCAGGATCTCGCCAGCTTTCTTCACCAAAGCAACATGCTTTTAAAGGCAGCGTATCTAAAATTGATAAGGTGGCTATTCTGTCCTTCAAAAGACCTTGGTATTATTCCAGTTCAATTTGTCTCCACAGAACAGATGGTTTGAGACTTTGGGAATTGTGCAGAAGACGGTTTGCAAGAATAATAATGTTCCTTGAGCTCTTTTTTGAACCTCAACTATTCACCGTATTTATTAATTACTTTGATTATGGGACAGAGACTCACATCCAAGTTCAGCCAAAATAGGGATCAGCTGATGAAAGCCCAAAATTGCACTAAGAAACAAAAGTGCGCCCATTGGATTTCAGAGTAGGCAAGTCAACCAGTCTGGACCTAAAACAGACAGTTCAGAATGCATTCTGAATGGTAATATTGAAGCTTTGGAGAAATTCCAGATGTCTGAAGATTAATTCTCAATTTGAAGTATATGCACTTCCCTGCATTATAGTTGGGAATAGCAGGAGAATGACAGAGTAGACCTGGGGGTGAACTGATTGAAGGTTTGTTTGATGAAGGGATTAGATGGTGTGTAAGTGAACAGCTTGTTTCAATTACAGAGACAACAAGGTGCAGGGCTGGATGAACACAGCAGGCCAAGCAGCATCATAGGAGCAGGAAGGCTGACGTTTCAGGCCTAGACCCTTTATCAGAAAAGGGGAAGGGGGAGGGGGTTCTGAAATAAATAGGGAAAGAGATCAGGGGTCACTATTAACTTGTACAAAGACAGATCTTGTATTGCTATCAGGCAGTGGTTCTTCTCCCAGTGAAGGGTGAACCTTTGGAACAGGCTGATGTTCCACTGGCTGTACACCGATCCACTGAATTCCTTTACGTGAGAGCTAGGTCTGTATCTGTCTCAAGGGATTGATACTGGGATACATTAACCAGGCCAAGGATGAGCTACTGGATTTGGTTCGATTGTTTCAGTGTATCAGAGAGAAATGTCTCGATTTCCACTCTTTTGATCCGAATCTATGTGGCTTTGTGCTTCTGCAGGAGATCATGTGGTTTCAGATTCAGCAGGCTTATTGTGATACACAAGGCATCACTGTTGTGTACAACAGGCTGACTTGAGCATTGAGCCTTTTCCAGTCCATCATTGCGAACAACTTAATCTTGGCCATACCGATAAATTATTATCAAATAAACTCAATATGAAGCACAGTACTTCAATTGCTGACAATGCATCATTCTTTAAGTCAATGACCAATAATTACATCCAAATCCTTTTTTTACTTTTGCTAATGAAACCTTGTATCTGCACCAAGATTTACATTTCCTGTTATCATTCATTTCGCTACATTAAAATCCATTGAGAATGCGATCAAACTTTCTAAAGTAAAACTTAATTTCTCTCGACATGTTGAAGTGTAAAAGGTTCCTAGGCGACTTAACAGGGTTGACACCGACAGGTTGAATCCCTTTATGAGAGAGTTCAAGACCAGAGGAAATAATCTTAGAGTAGGGAATGCACATTTGAGATGGAGATAAGGAGGATTTCTTCTGAGGGCAGTGAATCTGTGGAACTTGTTACTGCAGAGGGCTGTGAGAATGTGTTGTTAAGTATATTCAATGTTGAGATAGATGGATTTTAGTCAGCAAGGGAATTAAGGCAGGAAAGTTGAGTTGAGGATTATCAAACCAACCACAATCTTGGTAAATGGTGGAGAATACTTGATGGGCTGAATGGCCTATTTCTGTTCCTCGGTCTTGTGGTCTGATATCAAGATGGACAAGTCTGCACCTATCTTTCGTAATCTTAGTAAAATCTTGAGATGACTATGGTTACCTGTAACAGACATTATCAGGTCCATCCATTCTCTTGGCCTCTTCAATCTGAGCTTCACTGACATCGATTCCAACCACTTTTTCAAAGTGAGAAGCCAATCCTCTGGTGCTCTGACCAGAGCCACATCCAACATCCACTGCGAGGGCGAATGGCTTCCCCTTCTGAAAAGAGAATCACCTTCTGAGTAAAACATGCAATCTACATTCAGCAGTTCTGTCTTCAGTTGCTTACAATTGCATGACATGCAACTGCACAATCAAACTGATTCTTGGGTTGACAGATGGATCCTGTAGTGAAAGGAAGGTTAGCACTTCAATTGCTGACACAAGTCAACATTTTCTTGAAGGTGTCATCACATGACTGTCTGTCTTCAACTGGTGTATCTCCAGATATGCAGCACTGGCCTTCCATCGTGTCGGTTATGGTTTATTTTGAGAAAGCATTAGGAGACCTAGATACTGGTTGTGATTCTTTATTTATGTGTACACAAGGAGAGTCAGTCTTAAGTATTCTAAGACTGAACTCTGGCAAGAATTCACAAGTTTCATCTGTTATACACCTTGAATTATACTGAATTTTTAATCTAATCAACTTACAACCTACAACCATATGTTAACCAGTTGTCACTTACTTCCCACAGTACATACATCAGGAAACAGAATACGAGTTAAAAAGACACCCGGAAGAAAAAGATTGTAGCACATGAAAAAAAAAAACAGCTTGTATAGAGTTATGCAGCACAAAAACAGGCCCTTCAGCCCAACTTGTCCATGCCAACCAGTTTTTCCAAACTGAACTAGTCCCATTTGTCTGCATTTGGCCCATATTCCTCTAAACCTTTCCTATTCATGTACCTGTCCAAATGTCTTTTAAATGTTGTAACTGTACCTGCCTTTACCACTTCCTCTGGCTGCTCTTTCCATACGCGCACCACCTTGTGGAAAAAGTTGCACCTCAGGTCCCTTTTAAATCTTTCCCCTCTCATCTTAAACCTTTAGTCTCTAGTTTTGGACTCTCCTATCCTTGGAAAAAGACCTTGGCTGTTCCCCTTATCTATGACCCTCATGATTTTATAAACCGCCATAAGGTCACCCCTCAGCCTCCAATGCTCCAGGGAAAAAAAACCCAGCCTATCCAGCCTCTCCTTATAACTTAGACCTGACAACATCCTTGTAATTTTTTCAGTACTCTTACTAGTTTAACAACATTGTTTCTATAGCAGGGAGACCAGAATTGCATGCAGTATTCCAAAATACTTATCAATGTCTTGTGTAGCTGTAAATGTGACATCCTAACTCCTGTACTCAATGCTCTGACTGGTGAAGGCAAGTGTGCCAAACATTTTCTTTACCACCCGGTCTACCTGCGATGCCACTTTCAAGGGACTATGTACTTTTTCCTATGCATCTTTTCCTTGAACTAATCTGTTATTGGAGTTGGGGGAAAAGACTGTTTGCCTTGGTGACATGGTCAGATAGTCATATGATAAAATTTCCAGGAACAGGTCCAAGATAAAATATCAACCCTAATTCTTACATTGAGCAAATGTGCAACCAAGTCTGGAGTGAGGCAGGAGGGCAGGATGGGGGTCTGCGTTTTCAGGCTGTTTAGGAATTGGGAGGAGAATTTCTGCTAATTTGGTCTGTGACAACGTAACATTGAAGAAGTTTTTTTGAGGGCCAGACTCTCGTAAGTGCCCAGCAACAGTGTCTTTGCTGGCAGCTGCAAATGAGGCCAAAAGCCAAGACACAATGGATGGAGTTGAGTCACCCCAACCCCTACCCATGAGTCCCATGAAATCACAACTGTGGTCCTAACTACATTGGAGGAAATGAAAATGTTATAATTAACAGGTTCTGCCTGTAGCAGGCAAGGAAACAGGCACCTTCAGGAAGGACCCTTTCAAAATGGTAGCAGCCAGAGCACAGGGTTACTGCACTGATTAGTTGACAGAATGGGTTTCAACATTATTCCATGTGTTAGAGCTGGTGGTGCACAATTACAATCATTTCATTTTTTTTGACACTCCAAGTGAAATCCTTTCCCTCTTTCCAAACTTTCTATCAGGTACAGTCTGCCCAGGAGTACATTGGAATAGTTGAGTCTAAAGGTAACTGAGACATGGAGATCCTGCAGTTGATGAGCTGAGAGAGATGTGCAAATGAATGACCTTAGTGATGGGATATTACCCAGAGGTGGCCAACAGTCAAGTAGATATTGGAAAAGTTCTCCCAACATTTAACCATTAAAATCTATTAACAATCACCCCTCAGCCTCCGGTGCTCCAGGGAAAAAAGGCCCAGCCTATCCAGCCTCTCCTTATAACTTAGACCTGGCAACATCCTTATAAATTTTTTTCTGTACTCTTTCTAGTTTAACAACATCCTTTCTATAACAGGGAGTTTGGAATGTTACTTGCAGATTAACAACCCAGATTTGAATACTGTCCAGGTCTTGCTATGTACAGGCATGGACTGCTTCACTAACTGAGGAATTATGAGTGGCATTAAACTCTGCAATCATCAGTGAACAATCTCACATCTTGAAATCTTTAATTTGTAGAAAACCCGTTAATCTCTGTCCGGCATATGGTGATCCTCAGTTCGCTTGAGTGGAGAATTCTAATGACTCATCATTCTGAATCTCAATCAGATCTCATTCTGAGACTATGTCCACTGACCCCCTTCTAGAGTATATCGGCTCAGTCTTTGCAATCTCTGCTTCAGCCTTTCCCAACCTCTCACTGTTTAAGAAATACTGCATTTATGTTTTTTTATTCTGCATTATCTTTCATTTGCCATATTTTGCCACTCAGTGTTTCTAAATCCCAGCTCAGCTTCCCATCTATTTTTGTGTTGTCAGCAAACCTGAGAATATTCTATTAGGTCCCACATCCAAATAATCAATATAGACTGTTTGCATTTTAAATCAATCATGTGCATCGGTCCTTACTGGTTTGCCATAGTCACATGAACTCCACCATGAAGCACACACACAGGCACTTCAAGAAAGACACTGAACAGACAAGCCTGCTGTCTGGAGAGAACAGAACATGGTATCACAAGTGAAGCAGAGATTAAGTATTGTGGAGCTGCAAAAAAATAACATTGCTACTGACAGAGAGGGAGAGACACACAACAACGTTCAGAACTGTGAAGGCTGCTCCAAGCAACTGAAAGAAAAAAAAAGTACAAAGGATAGGCCACAGCTGAAACTTGGGTAAGAGTCAATGGTCGCAACATTTCCACTCCTTGCTCTGGTTGAAATGAAATGTGATATGAAGCAAAACGGGCAGTTTTTCCATGTACAATGTTTTTTTTTTGTTCAGAGAGATTCAGTGTGGAATACACTTTGAAACAGCCTTCGTCCAACAGCAATAAGAATGCAGTTACCCTTAGTTGCTCTGGCTTGTCAAACAGATCTGTTGCTATTTTGCAATTCTGCCATTCTGCGCGCAAAACTGCCAGTTTTATTTCATATCACCTCACATTTGTTTCTTTTTCAAAAAACGTTAAATCTCTTCCATCTGATTCTCTATCGGTTTAAGAGTGTGAACAGAATTTCCATTTACCCTGCACAAACACCTTATAATTTTGAAAACTTCTACTGAATCTCCATTGAGCCTTCTCCTTCAAATCTTGAAGGCATGATTCATACTCTGAGACATAGACAGTCAAGGCACAAATGATTCATTAGAATCTAGCTAAGGTAAACAGTTGTGAAATGTTGGCTTATAATCCAATAATTACATCTCTACTCTTCTTATAAACTATCCCATAATACACACAAATACAAACAGTCAGAGAGGGGTTTAAAAAAAAATCATGAGTTGTGGATGGTGGGAGAAATTGCTAAAGCAGTTCAATGGCTCCCGTTCACAATAATGCTGAGTTAATTCTTAGATTTCCTGGGCAGATCAGAACAGTGCTCCTCAGTCATCCTTCTCCAGATACTTCCACCCGTTTGCAAAAAGCTCAGGTTGTCTGGTTCATTTATTAAAGATCTCTGATTTATGAATTTAAAGTTCCAGCTTACAGCAATTGCTGAATGAAAGATAAGCATTTTTTTTCAGGCTTCCAGTGGCTTTTTTCTGCAGATAACGGAGAGATCTCCTGTTCAGCTACCTGAGAGCCAATCATATAATTGTTGGTAAGGAGAAGACCTTTGTTATTGGTGACTGGTTACTAGACCAGAAATCAATCCTCTGCTTGTTGCCAGTCAAAGCTTCGTTTGTATGCAACCTTTTGGCTCAACTGCATCTACACGCCACTGCTTCACAAGCAGCAATATAAACCATGCTTGCAATGAGTGTCAGGTAACATGCTTTCAAACATGCAGCATTCCTTCATCCATCCTTCATTTTTAAAACAGTTCTTTTCTCATTTCAGTCCACAATTAAAAATACAGAAAAATAAAGAACACAGTCTTTACAATATGGCTTTACACCTCTTCATACTGAACTTCATCCATCCTCTCCACTAACTTGTCAATGTCTTTCTGAAATTCTACACTGCCCCCCTCATGGTTTACAATCCTTCCAAGTTTTGTGTCACATGCAAACTTTGAAATGGTCTCCCCCACACACCAATCCTGGGAAGCTCCTCTTAAAAGAACATGGAGCTAGGAGCAATAAGCAATTCAGCTCCTTGAGCCTGCTCTGTCATTTTATATGATCATGGCTGATTTCATCTTGGCCTGAACTCCACTTTCCAGTCCGTTCCTCTTAATCCTTCAACCCATTACTAATTAAAACCTGTCTATCCGTTCCTTAAATTTACTTAATGTCACGACATCCACTATACTCTGGGGTAGTGAATTCCACAGATTCACAACCCTTTGAGAGAAGTAATTTTTTCTCATCTCTGCTTAAAATCTGCTACCCCTTATCTTAAAGCTATGACCTCTAATGCTAGCTTGCCCCATGAGGAAATGTCCTCTCTATATCTACTTTATCAATCACCTTTGGCATCTTATTCACCCCAATTACATCTCCTCTCTTTCTTCTTAACCTTCCTTTAGCCTTAAAATTAACCAATGACCATGCTGTCTATTTCTTATCACTCGGACAATTTTTTTCAAATCCCTAATCTTCTATGGCCCATAAGATTTCTCACAAGTGTGTTGTGAGGCGCTGTATCAAACACGTTTTGGTAGTCTACAT